AATCTTTCCTGACCTGTGTGCCCTTTCTTTCATCTGTGACCCCTAAGAACACATACCCACTACACAACTCATTGACATTCATTTTGCACATCATGTGTCCCCAAGCAGGCTGTAAGCTGTGAAATACTGCGCATGTCACACAGAGCCTGCCAGTGTCTCGTGTATGAGTACTAAGGTGACAAGTACATCTAGATTACCCTGTTTGTGCAAGGCCCAAAGTAAACGCAGGGCTATCAAGCTCTTGTGTCGCTAAGTGACAGATAAGGTTGAAGCACAACTGTTAGCAAAACGATGGTGCTAAAAGGCGAAAGTCTCTTGACTGGAAACACAGTTTTCTAAGATTAATTCAACAAATTAAATTTTTTCTACTGATCACTATGAAGAAAAAGAATGAAATATTCTTCTTGATAGCTAAGGAGTTCACAGTTTCTTGGAAAATAAAGACACATATGTAGCTAAGTAGGATAACATGTTATAAAAAAAGTGGGGCACATACAAATTGCCCAAAAAAGCCATCAACAGTGTTCAAGAGATGGTTTCAAGTTACATCCCACTGAATTTGGGCCAGGACTAGACAGAAATGGTGTCTGGAAAAAAAGAAGGAACTCTTTCTCTACTCTGAACAGATCTGCCCTCCTGCAGAGCCCAGCCTCTGGACTAGGCCACGCATGCGCAGGACTCAAGTTCATCTAGCGCATGACACTGGCCAGAGCAGCGAGGAAGCTGAAGCCGCTGAAGAAGCCAGCACTACAGCGGCACAAGAAGACTAGGAGCTGCCAGAAGAGCTGTCTGGAAACCTTTGAAAGCTTATCTAGTGAGACAGGGGCTGGGGAAGCATTTTTCATACTGCAAGAAACAGCCCATTAGTGGGTGGTGAAATCAACTTAGAAGTACAAGACTCACAGTAAGTGTTGTTTCACAAAATGTTTGTTATGGGCATGAGTGTGTGTGTGTGTTCACACACGCACACACATGCACACACACGTGTGCACTGGGTCATGCAAATGGATTTCTTTCAAAACAGTCTGCAAGGTAGGCAGATTACTTGGTAGATTATAGAAGGACACATTTCAATTCAGTGGAAGAAAAACACCTCTAACAAGTAAAACTATCCCACAATGGGGTGTGTTATTTGAATGGCAGGCAGTTTCCAGCATCTGAAAAACAGCCAGCAGTGCCAAAGCCATAGTTTGTCATGGAGGGTATTCATGTAAGTACTAGTTAAATGAGAAGAACTCTAAGTTCCTTCCCCATTCTGTGAGACTATCAGTAGATCACAGGTAATTAACTATCACTGAAAACACAATTAAGAGGGAAACAATTCCACAAAGTCACAAGGGTGAATGTATACAGCCTGAAATATGTGGTCGTTTATGTTGGAATAGCAGCCCTGTGAAAGGAGAGGTTCTAAGTGATACTTAAACCAGAGGTTCTTAGCCTCAATGTACATCAGGACCACCTGGGGAGTTTTTAAAATGTGTATCAACTGAAACACTGGAGCCCAAGATTTTTATTTCGTTTAATGTTCCCCAGGTAAGAGGAGTTGAGAATCACTGATTTGTATGCATAAAATGTATAAATAACACTGTACAAAGCACATAGGGAAAGAAAACAGCACCAGGATTTTCCATGAAGATCATAAAAGAAAGAGCTAGAAAACATCAAACCAAGGCTTCAGAATTCTGCTCAGGGCTGAAAAGAGCATCGTTTCCATGCTTACAACAAATAAAAAGCCAGGTAAACTGCCAGTTCATAACTTCCTTAAATCCATTAGACAGCCGAGGTCACAGAACAAACCAGCCCAAAATCTAAGAGAACCTGGCACCTGCAGGAAGGGACAAGACATGAGCACTTGTTTACCTGGGGCAAATACACCTGGACACTGGCTAACAAGCATAAGTAATAGATAATAATGGAAAGCTTCTGGAAGAGTTGAAAGAGTACAGAGACAGACCACTCAGAGGCACCATGCGAAGGGAAGACCTAAGGCTGACACTGAAACAGATATTGAGAAAACCCCTTCAGCAAACCAGCCCCCAACTCTGAACTCAAGGTAGCTCAAGAGGACTGTGAAGTCTGTGATGCGCCTGAGGAAAACCATAGCAACAACAAACTTCAAATCCAGTTCAGCTCCTGACTAGATTGATCGAGAAGGGCTTACCCATTTCCAGGCATAAAAACTATTTATCTCAGTCTCTAATGTTCTACATAAAGTGTCTAGTTCTCAACAAAACATTACAGGGCATACAAAAAAATCAAGAAAAAACTATATTGTCAAAAGACATAGCAATTAACAGAACCAGACTCAGATATGGCTCAGATGTTAAAGCTATCAGACTCAAAAATTAAAATAAGCATAATTGATTGTAAAAGGCCCTAACAGAAAAGGTGAACAACATAAAAGATTAAATATATAAATTTTAACAGAGAAATAGAAACCATAAGAATAAAATGGAAATGCTTGAAAGGCTAAACACAGTAATAGAAATTAAGAATGCTTTCAACAGATATTCCCCAATAGATTGGACACAGTCAAGGAAAGAATCAGTGAACCTGCAAATAAGTCAGTAGAAATTACTCAGACTAAAACAAAAGGGATAAAAGGATGAAACGAAACAAACACATTTAAAAAGTATCCAGGAGCTGTGGGATAACACCAAAATCCTAACCTAGGTGTAATCAAAATTGCAAGAGAAAAGAGAGTGGGACAGATGAAATATCTGAGGAAATAACTGCTGAGAATTTTCCAAAATTAACGACAGATACCAAACCACAGGTCCAAGCTCAAGAATACCAAGCAGGTCAAATACCAAGCATACTAGCAACAATAGCAACCCCCACAAAATTAAATACTTAAGTGTAAATATAACAAATCCTGTGCAAAACCTCTATCCTGAAACAACTATACTGATAGAAAAATAGGAAGAAAAAAAACACTGAAATAAATGGAGATGTAAGAGATATCACATTCACAGAGTGAAAAACTCAATATTGTAAAGTTGTCTATTCTTCCTAAATTAATCTATAAATTCAATGCAATCCCATTAAAAGTCCCAGCAGGAGTTTTTATACATATTGACAAGCTGATTCTACAATTTATATGGAAAGGCAAAGTAACTAGAGGAGCCATGACAATTTCATAAAAGAATAAAGTTGGAGGACTTACACTATCTACTTTTAAAACTTATTATAAAGTCACAGTAATTAAGGCAGTGTAGTGTTGGCAAAAAGTAGGCATATAGATCAATAAAATACAATTGAGAGTCCAGAAATGAACACTTACATTTATGGCCAATTGATTTTCAACAAAGGTATCCAGGCAATTCAATAGAGAAAGAACAGTCTTTTAAACAAATGGTGCTGGAACAATTGAACTTCCACAGGCTAAAAAAAATTCCTTGACTCATACCTTACTCCTTATATAAAAATTAGTCCCAAGTGGGTCATAGACTTAAGTATAAAACTATGAAACTTCTAGAAGAAAACATAGAAAATCTTCAAGACTTTTGGTTAGACAAAGAATTCTTAGATAAAACAACAAAAGTCTGATTCATAAAATGATTGATAAATTGGTTTACCAAAGTTTTAAAAATTCTACCTTGAGAAAAATACTGTTGCAGGAATAAAAAGATAAGGCACAGACTGGGAGAAATTATTTGTAAATCACATTTCTAACAAAGAATATGTATCCAGATTATGTAAAGAACTCTCAAAACTTGACAATAAGAAACAAACCACCCAATAAAAACAGGTAATCAAAATAATCTCTGCATAACACTTCTATTCTATAAATTTTTATATGAATTTGTACATTTTTTCCAGTCAGTTATGGGTCCAAACTTCTCACCAATTTTCATCTGTATCACATTTATCTGACAATAAAATTAGGCTTTAGGTCTCTGTTAACCTTTGATGCACTATACATTATATATAAATATATGCACTATACATATATACATATATTAATTCTCATCTGGAGATATTTTTCCATTGCTTTTTCAGAGTGATTGGAAGGGGCAGGGGGGAGAAACATCAATGTGAGAGAGACACATTGATTGGCTGCCTCCCACGCAAGGCCAGGGCAGGGATCGAGTCTACAACCAAGGTACATGCCCTTGGCCGGGATTGAACCCAGGACACCTCAGCCAACACTCTAACCACTGAGCCAAATCAGCTAGGGCCACTTCATATTGATCTAANTATCACATTTATCTGACAATAAAATTAGGCTTTAGGTCTCTGTTAACCTTTGATGCACTATACATTATATATAAATATATGCACTATACATATATATATATATTAATTCTCATCTGGAGATATTTTTCCATTGCTTTTTCAGAGTGATTGGAAGGGGCAGGGGGGAGAAACATCAATGTGAGAGAGACACATTGATTGGCTGCCTCCCACACAAGGCCAGGGCAGGGATCGAGTCTACAACCAAGGTACATGCCCTTGGCCGGGATTGAACCCAGGACACCTCAGTCAACACTCTAACCACTGAGCCAAATCAGCTCGGGCCACTTCATATTGATCTAAAAAAAACTAATAGTTTTGGGGGTTTTTTTAACTCAGGAGATATAGTAAAGGGACTACTTTTCCTATCAAACAAAATTGGTGCTTTAAACAACCACAGCAAAAAACATTATAACTTCCTGAGTCATCAAAATTTATTTTCTCACCTTTTAAATAATGAACCCTGAGCATGAGTCACCACATTTTTAATCACCATACTTCCTCCTTCCCCTGCTACCAAAACTAAACAAGTCTGGAACACAACGATGAAAGAAATGACCCTTACTATCACTTTGCTCATATTTCTTCACTTGTTTCTCATCGCCTGGTACCATGTTTTGTAAGTCACTGTAAATCGTGTTTGGAACAATGTCAGGTACAACAAACAGATTCTGCATGAAAAGAATCCTTTAAGATCAAGTTATCCCGCATGTAACCCTCTCCTTCCAAGTGAACGTGTGTCTTTTTTTCTCCCAATACCATACCTGCTCAGGCTGTATTTCCCTGCTGGCAACCGGAGAGAGATTAAACCTTGAAGGTTTTCAGCACTATGCCCAGCGTGTTTCTTTTCTTAACATGTTTTCTTTTTCATTTCAGGACTTCTCACCACCTGACATATGAAACAAAACATAAATGTCTCCTTCCAGCAAATTGTAAGCTCCATGAGAAGAGACTGTCTTTCTTGCGTACTCTTTTATTACCAGCGCCCAGATCTGTGTCTGGCACGCAGTAGATGCTTAATAAATATTTATGGAATGAATGACTACCCAGAGTATCTCTCTGCCTCATTCCCTCACATTCTCCCAGTGATCCTGATTAACCCATGCCAGTACTGCTGAGGAAACAACTAAATATGCTGCCTTCCACTCCCTCCTTTCTGCCAGGATTAGTGACCAGGTCTTTTTGCCAGTTTCTATGTTAACTAGATATTGAGGATGGAGGATCATGAGAAGTAGCGCCCCTGGTTACCCAATCTAACCCCACATGTCCGCCAGTGTCCACCGTATCAAATGGAAACAAAAAGCAGCACTCACCTCACACTTCAAATGAAAACGGGCTAAATGCTTTCAAAGCAATAGACAGGCTGGTATCCTAGACACAATTATGGAGTATTCACTCCTGGACTTACTGCCTGCAGAACTGTCTTCTAGTCCAGGATCTACCACTAACTGCATCTTCACCAAGTCCCAGCCCGTTAGTTTAAAGGCAGGTGCCGACCCTGAAGTGAAGACATGGTAGGAGGGGGCCTGGGGGAGGGTGAAGCGGGGGTACCGGGGAAGGCTGGGGAGTGGGAGGCACAGCAGATCTGTGAGGCTTTTTCCCACTTCACGCGGCCGGTCCCCTAAAAGCCTCCACCTAGTCCACCCCTTGAGAATTACCACCCCAGAGCAAGCCACTATTGCTGTTTTTAATGGGAGCATGAAAAACTCAGAAAAACTTTTCCAGGTTTTGAGTGTAAGTTTTTTGAGGAGTGGCACCAAAATGTATGCTTCTTAGTGATACCCAGATTGGTATCTGACATCGGGTACTCGTGTCTCTACCTGCATCTCCACCCTCAGCTCCTTTCTTCCCGTCAGACACACCATGTACTTCTATTGTACTGAACTTCTCCTGGTTGCCCATACAGGCCACACCTTTGGCCATCTGTCCCCACCGGTGGGAGGAAGGGTTGACTGCCTACCTAACAGCCCGACAGGCAGTCTCGCTTTCTTCCTTGCTAACAGAATTCCAATTTTGTTCAGATCTGCAGGATTGATGTGCTCAGGGGACGTGAGCCCCTCCCCCAGCTCCAGAAGCTTGCTTGGCCAAAACATTCATAGCCATCCTATTCTCCTTTGCCAGTGACTGGTTTAGGGTGGGCATGTGACTATTCTGGCCAATGGCACCTGGCAATGGCACATGGAACTTCTGGGAAATGTTGTCCTTTGTTATCTAGAGAAACACGGAGAAGCAAGCCCTGTCCCTTCCTTTCTGCTTTGGATGTTACCACATGAAGGCAGAATGGAGCAGAAAAAAACAAGGGAATCTTCAAGGAGCCAACCTAGAGCTCTGACTACTCTGAACTGCCTCCCTCCAGACTTCTTATACAAGATAGTAAAGTAACCTCAATAATGTTCCTTACAACAGAAAGCTCTAAATGACACCCTACCACATGGCTTGGAAGTCCCTCCAATTTTTTCCCCTGCAGGAGCCTTACTCCTCTCCAGTTTAAAGGACACTTTGGGAAGTCTTCACTCTATCCCCAGTGCAACAGTCCCAGACACTACCTTTCCAGCCAGACAGTGAGCTCAAAAGAGGGCATTTTCACCCTTGGCAGAGACTTCAGCATATGTTTGACATTAATTAAATGTTGAGTGAATGAATGAACAACAAAACAATGAATAAAGGGATGAACATGCAAGGTGCCTCCGTGTCTTGGATAAAGGCTCAGTGACTGACAGAATACAGCATCCAGGCAGTGTACGCTGAGCTGCAGACTTCTTTAGAAGGCGATAAGCAAAGGCAGAGGTGGTGCAATGGGCGTGTCCTGTTATTATCTGCCCAGGATGCAGCCTTCGCATTGGGAACTGCCCTTCTCCAATTCCCAGGAGCTGGTACTATCACAGTAGCTTAGCTAACCTCCCCAGGCACTGGTGGCATCTGGGTAAAGTGCCCACTTCTGGGGTGGAAACCCATTCCCTATCGACTGAGATGGCTTGGCCCTGCTTTGGTCTAGTTTATCAATAAGATTTGCTATGATGATGGAGGAGATGGAAGAAGAGACTGCCCCCACCCCCACCCCACCATCCCCACCCCAGAGGAACAGATAAGCCTGAAGGTGCCAGTGCTATTTATCACTCCACAGAAAGAACCCGTCAACACAGAGGGAAAAGAGCCAAGATACACATCAGAGAGAAGGAGCCCTGCTACAGGAGCTCCTGGATCTAACTGTGCCTGAAGCTAAAACTCTGAGCCTCTTCATTCACGTGACCCAATCAACTTCCATATTGCTTAAGGCAATTTCCAAGTGAAGCAAACCCAACCCAAAGAAAAGAATTCTGACAAATGCCATGATGACAGCGGGCTGATAACACCCTTCTGTCTGCAGGGCCTGTGCACCGGAGACTCAGTCTTGGCCTCTAGAATGGTGTCAGGAAGTAAGGCAGCCTGGGAGAGGCCTAGCCATGAACAAGTCAGAGTGGGAAAAGCATAACAAAACCAAAAAAGCCCTCTCCCCCCAAACACACTGCAACCACCACCACCAGGGTCCCTCCTAAAAAAAAGGGTAACCTAAGCCTCCTGGATCTCTCTTCTGTTCAGAAATGTGTGGGGACTTCTGGAAGGCATAAAAAAAAATTTAAAAAAAAAGGAGAGAACTTTTTCATCAAGCACTGTGCTGTGTACTTTGCGAATATCAGATAACTTAAGGCCGTCCTAATCATAATTCCCACTCTACCTTTGAGGAAACCGAGGATCTGCGAAGTTAAGTAACTTGCTCAAGGTAACACAGCTAGCAGCTGGAATTTAAACACCGTTCTAGACGTTTTCCCCGGTATCGCCCCCACCGCCAGGCCCGGGAAGGCGGGGCGCACACCCCGCCTCTCACAAAGCCCCGGGGCGCAGTCCTGCAGCTTTACCGCCTAAGGCTTTTCCGAAGCCCTAGGAACCCGTGGGTGCAGGTCGGCTGTTCAACACCAACAGCAAAAGTAAAGAGCCGCGCAGAGGCGTCGCAGCGCGGGCGCAGGCCCCTGGGAAGCGCTGCAGGCGGGGCGCTGAGCTCCCGGCTCCTCGGTGGGCCCGCCGCCCG